GCTTCTGCACATCTACTGCAACAGCGGTGGGGGCATCTAGCCCTGAGCTACACTAAGTGTAAAAGCAAAAAGCACGTCTGAGTACAAACAGATGCTCTAATCTGAAAAATGCAAAGCATAAGAAAATCTCTAGCCTAGGATGAGAATAAGGTGACCCGCTCCAAGCACAAGGTGACCTGTTTTTTCCCCATTTCTGATGGTTCTGATCCTCCAAGTCCCCATGCAGCCGCACTGTGAAATCCATTTGAAACATCAGAGAGAGACTGTGCATCAAACTAAAATAAATTCTTCTACCCACCCAGCCCCCTTATAGGCCAACAAAATGCTCCCCCTTTCTCTGCTATACCCATTTCACTGCCCTTTGGCTCAGCAGCTCAAGTACTTCATGGAAATCAAGGATGCATTTATTTCTCTTCCAAATTCACATTGAGATGCTTGAGTTTATTTTATTGTATTTTCTTAAGCCCAAATAGAAAAATAGGTTTATACACATAAATAAAAAAATAATAACCTGCCATTTAAATCCTGTTCAGGCAATTAGCTTAGTGCCTAGCTCTGTGTTAATGCGATCGCCTTTCTTTGTTTGTTCCTATTTATACTGCTCTTTAAAGTTCATTAAAATCACTGCTGCTATCTCACACAGAACAACTGTTCAAAACATCAGTGTCATGCAGTCAGGAAATTTATGCTTTGAAGTTCCTTTTTTTTTTTTTTTTTTTTTTTTCTGTTTTTTTTCTTAATGACTAAACCAGTTTTATGCTCTTCACAGTTATTCCAAAATCTGTTCCTCCTGACACGGAGCTGATACATCATTCCTCACTCATAACCCTTTTTCTCATTTTCATCATTTCTCTCCTCGCTTGCTTTGGCTCTCTGCTAAGTCCATCACAGCTTTGTTTTTATATCCTCGTCGCTGTATTTTATAGCCCAGTAAAACCTAGAAAGCTGCTTCAGAAAACACACATGCCAGCCCTTTGATGTTTGTGTTTGTGTGGCAGCTTGCTGGAACGTGTCAGCACTTGCACAGAGACAAAGCCCCACGAACCCACCGGCTGCCCGAGACAGCCCTGCCAGACACCGGCTGCAGGCAGCGGAGCAAAGGCAGGGACGATGTAAGGGGAACAGGTGAACACCTTCCTCTCCGATCCCAGTCGAGATAAATTGCCTTTTTGCCTCAGTCCCTCCACACCACAGTGAATGGCTGCTGGTTTTCCATCATTAAAACCTCCATGGGATACAAGAGGCATCTCCCCCAGGGGATCAGCCCTGGGACCAGAACTGTGAAAATGCTTCTTGCCTTTGCTTTGAGCTCACTGCTCCCCTGCACACTGCCAAAAAGCAAAAGACAGCATCTACAGATAGGGACCATTGCTCAGCGACAAAGAACAGCCTGTGCAGATCCTTGGCAATGGCAGAGTTCGGCCCAGGAGCAGGTGGAGGATGCTTGTAAAAATAATGGGGACTGGCTGTGAGCTGGCTAGAGAAGGAAGAGATGCCAGCTTCACTTTTCTGTATCTTACGAATTGTGTTTGACAGCTTTGCAGCAAAACACCTTTCTTGCCCTGGAGGCAATGTCCTGCCCCTCTCCACCATGTCTGTGGGGAGCCATGGGACACCATCTCCAATGGCACCTGCAGATTGTCTCTAGTGGCCAAGGACAACGTATTCAGCTGCCATAAATCCATCCTAACAGAGACTAGGGGAGCCCAGCCCAATTACTAACCTGGCTTCAGCTTGGAGCAGGGTCAGACCTGGGACAGAAAGCTGCTGCCCCAAATGCATTTACATCTAAGCAGACAACTCAGAGGGTGCAAACAGGAACAGCACTGCAGAGTGCCTGATCTAGGGCCCAAAACTAGACCTGTTTTAATGAACATTAACAAGAAAATTACTTCCAGACTGATGCTGTATCTGCCAGGTAGCACTGCCTCTCCTGGGTACCTGCACAAACCCCAGCTTGCAGAGGACTTGGAGGACAAACGTGGATTGATCCTGGATGCGTCCATTAATGAAGTCCGGATCACTATCCAGTTTTATCCAGAAGCCTGAACTCTTCTGGTCTTCACCAGATTTTGGATTAGACATGGAGGCTTATAAAGACCAAATTACCTGTATGATTATTCAGAAACAGATCTGTAGATCATTTTAGTGGCATGTACTCAAATTTTGTTTTGAATAACAGTTAAAAATATTGTTCAAGACAAACACAGGTTCTATCACTGCGTAATTTTGTACCTATGCCCTTCGGAAAGTGATATTTACCTCCTACCCAGAAGAACTGGGGAAACTTATATGCTGAGAATGAGCAGAAGACCTCTGTCAGGAGCCAGAACTGCTTTTCAGCCTGCAGTAATTAACGAGTGCTGTAGACCATCACTTAATATGATACAAAGAGCACTGCCAAATCTCAGGATTATATCTGGAGCTTTACTCTCAAGTCCCCTGTGTCTGGAAACATGTGATTTTAAGAAAATCTCAGTTTTAGTTTTTATAAATGGTCTTCTCAATTTTACAGCTGCAGAGGAAACTCAAAAATGTGAATAGTAAAGGCTATCTAAAGCAAAACAAAGAGTTCAGTATTAATGCATTTATTTATTTAAACTTTTTCTTCTAAGTTGTCTCTTGAGTTGAGGGCCTGATTCATGGTATTTTGGCCACCAGCAGTTGGTGGTGCTCAATCTGTCATAGTAAATAATGGATGCTGTGAGCCACCCCTCAGTTAGTTTTAGAAATAGTTCTGGCTTCCAGACACAAAGGGCCAGCTGGTGGCTGGGACGTGTTATCACCAACGTGTTAGCACCTTGCTAACATGGAAGAGATACCACCCCATCTCTTCCCGGACTTTTGAAAGAGGAAACCATTTTTTTCTCCACTAAAACATGATTAATACTAGCTGTAAGGTTATCTCATTTGGCTTAGCCAAACACAGCAGAGTTTAACGGTTCCTAGTTCCCGGGTTCATCCCACAGCCCTTTCGGCTCATCCACCACAGATCAAATGAGAATCTGAACAGCAAACCTCCCTTTCTGGTGAGCCAAGGAAACCCTGCCTAGTGCCTACACAGGCAGACATGTAACAGTGATGCCACACTCAGCTCTCCCCATGGATTGCTGCCGTCTTACTCATCTGATGACAGCTCAGGAGCAGTAGAGAAATCTAATTTCTCAGCATCAGATTTATGGCTGAAGTAGGCCTATCTGACAAGAGAAGGCATTGTGCTTATTCAAGCTGATCAAGAACCTGAGAGCAATTTCTATGGAAAAAAGGTCCGCTTTAATAGACAGATATTGAAAGCAAACTCACAAATTGCTTAGGACTTCAGATGAACAAAACACATGAAGGATTTGCTTTTCAACTCCTTCCCTCTTTTTCTTTCTCCAAATCCACATTGGTCTCAACATGGATGTGGTGCCTAAACAGCCCCTAAGCATGCACGAGGCTCTGTCCAGACCTCTGTGCCCCTCATTTTCACACAACAGGGAAAGATGACAGCTTGCACACCCTCCAGAGAATGGCAAGTGTCCCCAACACAATGCCCAATACTAACTCAATGCCATCTACTCCACTGCTACTACAACCACCACCACAGCAAGAAGGCAGCAGGTAGTGAGCCACATCTCCAGGAGCCCACATGGGCTAGCACAGTTGGCAGCACCCATCTTACCAGCACTGGAGGCCAAGGGTATTCAAAAAACCCTACAGCATATGATGTGTTAAGTTCAGAGCTTGCCCCCAGTATAGCACACCAAGGGTTAACATCACAGTGCAATTCATGCACTATCAATTTCATCCATTTTTTACAAAGCTAATTTGTCTGCCTTTTCGAGATATTCTCCACCAGGGTCTTGAACACAAGCCTGAAGCAGGGGGTGGATGGAGACCAAGTACGTGAGCAGGGTTTTATGAGGCAAAGTGAAAGGCCATGAGCAGGCACCACCCACCTAATAACCCTGGAGAGAAATTGTGGATTGAAATGCCTAAACCAGGCTCAACCAGCAACAGGACGGAAAGGTTTCTGGTCTGGTTATTGTCATGCTAGGTTTGGGTCCTAAATGTTTACCTCTCTGGTTGGAAGCCCAATATTCAGACTCCCTGATGGTGCAGATGCTGACGGACGCATGGGAAATTTCCAGACAGCGCTGGAATCCTGGTCTCAGAGCAGACCTCCTCTGATTTACTGAGCTGTGAGATGGGCAGGGACAGATCCCATCCCTCTGCTCTCAGTGTTACCCCTCGCTAGCCTCCAGGAAAGCCGTATCTCTCCCAGAGGCACTGCCTCCAAAGGTACAGACAAAACCCCAACTATAGCACTGCCATCACAGGTCTCCACTTGCAAAAGCTGATGCCAGTTCCCTGCCTCCTCCTACACACCACTCGCTGGCACATGGTGAGGTCTTTTCTGTGCTAACTCCATACCCATCCTGGCAGTCCCCAGGCAGTGCTCAGCAACTGCAACACAAGGTGTCCCTTGGTGGATATTCACAGGCTCTCCCATGTCCTTCAAACTCTTCAGAAGGACTCCCTCAGCAGCACTGCTCATACAAGCCCATACTCTGGGACACAGAGGGTTGCACCCAGTAGCAACACTCTACAAACCAGGATTTTGGGGCTGCCCCATCACACAGGTTAGACCCGGGCAGGTCATCAGGTCAGGAGCCTGCACGAGCTGTGCAATGGAAAAAGAGTAACTGGAGATAACACTGCGATAATATCTCTGAGAATAATCACGCACTGAGCTCCCACCATGTTGTTTATAAAGCCAAAACAGGCAGCAATCCAGACAGAACCACACGGGAATGGTGCAGGAATGAGCACACGAGGCTCCTCACTTGCACAGACAGGACATAAAACAGAAACACAGCATTTATTCCACTCTAGACTGGACTGGACTGGATCTTCTCCTCCCTCCGCTCTGTGGATTAGCAGCCACTAACAATGCCTCTCATGGTAACTCTCAGGTTTGTTTCCAAAAAGTTTATTCTGTTTGTAATTTCTCATACCTGCTAATCTCTCCCGGACGTCCTCAACTGCTCCAGAGCAAGGGTCAGGCTGAGCCACGTGTCGCAAGGCTCACTGAGACTTTCTTCACCGTGCTGCCTGCCTGTCATCCCTGCTGCTGCTCACGGTGGCAATTCAAAGACAACGGATGGCTTTTGGATGCTCAGCTCCAGAGCTTCTTTCTGTAGGAAGGAAAATCAGTGGGAAATTTAAGAGCGTGCTGCATGCAAGCTCAGATGGTAAGTCAGTGTCAGCTTGTCCAGAGGACTCACGAGTGGCTACAGCCCTGCCTCAGGCATTTCCAAGGGCCCCAACTGCTTGTCTTTGCAGCTTGGAAGACCTTTCAAAGTCACTTTTGCAATCTCATGACTGCTTCCAGAGTCCATACGCTCCTTCTTCCCAGCATAAAACAAACAAAGCCAGCAAGGTAGCACTCAGAAGCATCCCTACAAAAACTAACAAGCCACTTTCTGGGAAGAAGGCAGGATATGGACACAAGGGAAGGGATCACACAGCAGTTGCTGCAAAGAAAAAGATTCCTGTTTCCAGCATAGAAAGGTCTCCTATGCACATAAACCCTGTGGTGATGTCTTTTATGTCACGCTGATAACAATTTCCTCCAGTCCTGAGCCCTCTTTCAGTAGACAGTACCTTTTCCATACAAAGCTCACCCCCCTCAATCTTCAGGCTGCTCCTGCACCCAGAGCAACAGAAATGATGAAGCCACATGGCCCTGTGGTTTCTGACAGCAAAACCCCAGGCTCTGATGCAGAGCATGGATCTAGAGCTTCTGTGGCAGTCCGGAGTGTAAGAGCCTCTGAATGCTACTCATAAAAGGAACACGAGGAACTGCTTTTCAATACAATTCTCTTATTTTTTCCCCCTTTTCCTTTCTACACTCCAAAGGGTGAACAACTTAGGCTTCAGCGGAAAACCAGAGAAGGACCCCAGAAATTATTTACTTATTGCTGCTCTTTTTTCATCACGTTTTCCTTCCTTTAGGACTTGGCCCTGGCTGGTTTCCCAAGCAAGAACTGAGAGAGCCAACGGTTCATCCATCTCTATTTAAATTACTTTTGTACTGCATTGAATAATTGTGCCTCCATTTTACTCCAGGGCTAAAGGTGACTGACTTAAAGGTGATTATCTTTTGTTAATAGCCTGCATTACTGAGCAAGATCTCGGAATTACCTTTGTAATCCTTCCCCACACTTTAATGTTGCTATTATTATTAATATTGCTCTTTAAAACATACTTTTCTCCTGTCATGTGGAGGCAGCAACTGCTGCTTCTCAGGGATATCGTGAAAAGGCTGCCTGAATCTATGAAGCAGGAAGAATCCAGTGCATCACAGCACTTTTTTTTCTTAAAGGTGGTGGGGGTTCGAGTCCAGCCATGAACAACGAGGACTTGATTAAATCGATACAGGATGGCTGCAGCTGGGCTTCCATAGCCAATACAGACACCACAGATTTGGGAGCAATATTTAACCATTCTGTAAGATTGGTACAATATGTTTTATCTTTTAAATAAAACATTTCCACTTTGACATCCCACTGCAACCCTGGGGCTGACTGGGCACTTGCACCAGTAGACTTTCTTTTCCCAGGTTCGGACTGGGATACCATCCCAAATCCAGTGGATGCAAGTCCAACTTCAGAAGCAGCATCAGTGACTTCAGATTTTCATCCTTCTTAGGATTTAGAGAAGCTCATTGACACTGTTTAAGGAAGGTCTTTAACCAAGCCAGCTCACACAGCACTCCTGAAATACCCCATCAGGAAATCCCAGCACACCATAAATAATTGGTATTAGGCTTATATTTTTCATGGCCCAGACTTTCTACAGTTTCTGCTCTAACAAATCACGTTTGTCAAGCTTTCCCCACATTGTCCGCTGAACACTGAGCACCAGCATTGTTTGACGGGTGTTTGCTAAGCACTCAGAGGACAGGCTCTGGAAGGACTCTGTGCTCAGCAGCACTGCTATAGCTTGAATCTACAGTATTTCACACATACTTGCACACTGTATGTTACTTCCAATGTCTTCTACCTGTTCTGTCTTCTCCTTCTGTATCTCTATTATTGTTTGCTGCCTCCCATATAGAGGAAACTAGCTGAAGGCTTGTGAAGAAATGCCTAATTTGGTTTAAGTCAGGCTAACATTTTCTATAGTCACCAGCGTTGCACCCAGGTATGTAGTATGTAAATTTACCAGTGTATTGCAGGCAAAAGGTAAATGTCTTGCTATTACAGATAAAATTTTATGAACTTTTAATATGAACTATTATTATTAAACAGTTAAACATCCAGAGGTGGAAAGAAGAAATACCCTTCCCATATTGAATTTTAAGTGGCAAGCTGCATAAACAAGTGATGTATTTCTGTCACATAAAATGCATATTAGAATGCCATTACTAAGCTCAAAACAACAGGCGTTCAGCGGTAAGGAAATAGCCATGGCACCTCATCAATTAATCCCACACTACTTTTCCTGCCACATTTGGTGCCAACTGCTGCTTATGAGACTCTAAAAATTTAACACAGCCTTGAAGCCTGTTCTCCACTCACCAGCATCCAGCTCCCAGCAACTCCCCACGGACAGGCAGGAGAGCCAGCAGAGATCTGATCTCCCTGCCCTCCAGGTGCTCACCCTGCAGTGCCATTCAGAGGAGGATGGGTCTGATACCATCCAGTACAACCAGAAATCTGCCACTGTAACCAGGTCAGGCTGGGAAATAAGATTGTATGAGGCTACTGAAGTCACCTGGAAATTTAGTTTCATTCCCTGCTTTTACCTGGATGTGGGTTGAAAGCTAAACTCGCGTGCAAGAAATGCAAGAGGCCAGATCCAGGATGCAAATGTCCCACACAGGTGTGCAGTCAGGTTCTGCCACCTCCCCTTCACATCTTCTTCCAGTGCACAAGACACCAGCCCGAGTTTCTACCAAAAAAAGCCCCCATAAGCAGCAGCTCTAAAGGGAAAGGAGCCGAGAGCAGCAGGGAAAGACCCCCAGCCTGCAGACAGCAAATGCATCAGCACTTCACAACACAAAACCACACAATTTCTGGAGAGCCACACATGTCCCCAGCTCACTGTGGCTCTTCAGGGAAGGGGAGGCCACACTTCAGGCTGGAAGCACCTTCCTGCCCCTGACAAATTATAAACTTATTTAACAACTCATCATCTGTCATTACTTACAGCTTTACGCATAACCAGAACTTCTTAGCTGGCTGCACACATGGCCACGGTTGCCAGCAAATAAATGCCCATGGCTGATGGCCTCACTTCTATGCAGAAATTCCACCCAGGGACTGAATACAAAATATTTAAGGTTAATCACTGCACTTGTCAGATGATTAAATCCACTCAGCATTTGGCCTCTCATCTTGTCATACCCGTTTAGATTAAAATCATCCGTGCTTGCCCTGCCCATAGCACCTTATCATTCAGCAGAGGCTAGGCTCAGGTGGATAAAGTGCTGGTATATATCTCAGTCCTGAAAATAACCTTTCAAATAGCTCCCACTGCGAAACTTGCATTATTGTGGCTGCAATCAGTCCGCAGTGCTATCCAGGAAGGTGGTTTCACTGGCCCAAAACAGTGAGCTGGGCAATAGTAACACAAAACTCCATTTCTCATATTGGTTTTCAAGTAGAGTTAAGCAAGTCAAGGGAAGTGGTCTAAGCAGTAAGAGGGAAGAAAGAGACATGAGGAAAAAATGTAGAAATGTCTGTTTGAGAAAACAGTACTTGGATTCTGAGAATAAAAAGCTTACTAGTCAGAATAGGCCTTCCCCAAAGCAGAAATTTTCCAGTGTTCCCATAAAAATGAAAGCCGTAAAAAAGGATTTTCAATTCCAAAACATACACATTTTCAACTGAAAAGCTTTCAAATGTAAACAGTTTTGTTCAGCCATGATGTTCTGGCTTTGAGTTACTGATAAAGCATAGATGCTTTTAGAAAACAGCAGATACATTCCACAGAAATTTGTATTTAATTAAAATACTTTTTTTCTTTTTCCTTTTTTTTCTTCTTAAATCAAAGAAAAGTTTTGGCAGAAAAGTTACAACAGGCTTAACTGTGGTTAGGATTTTTGAATGTGGCCAGGACTGACTTAACTATGCCTCTGAACGACAGCTGTCCTTTGGCTTCGACAGGACATTGCACTGCATCAGAGCTGAGACAAGGGGGTTCTCTGACCCACGAAAAAACATAGCAATCCCAAGTTTGATGGCCAAATACATTATTAGTGACAGGAAATCTTCAGAAAGTTCTGTAATTCAGTTCAGCATCTACATTTTGATAACTTGTCTAAAGCTGCAAGATCTGGAAAACAAGACTGAAAATCCCCCAAAGCCGGGCCCTCAAGAAATGTTCTGTATGTCTTTCTCTGAAGCATGTAGAAAAACCACAAGAATAGCCTTTCCTCAAGGTATTTTGAAACCTCAGCTCCTAGTTAGACTGAAGAAGGGCATAGGCAAGCGGAAATGAAAATCATCTGGGGAAATGTTCACAAGGCTGCTTAAAACCTTGTGGAAACCTCTGTCTGGATTTGGATGAAAGATGGAGACAAGGGCAGCTTCAGGGAACGAAGGAGATTAGAGGCAAAGAAGCTGTTTGCATTTTAGCAGGAAACTTCAGCAATCTTGAATTTCAAAATGGCTGAGAAAAGTGAAATTAGACCAGGCACTGTCCCAGCAGCAGCTGTGATGATCTGAAGAAAGCTCTAAACCTGAATTTAGAGGTGGATGAAGAACGAAACCCAGCTCTATTCTCCAGTGTCACATCTAGTCTTTAACACTCAGCACCATGAACATCTTCTTGTCCATCTACTTTCAAACTGAACAATTGAGCAAAATTCACTCTTAACGGGGTCAAAAAGTAGACTTGAGTCTTTTAACTTCACAAAAAAATAATTCTCAAATGATTGCATGCATGCATGCAGATTACATGTAAAGGAGGCCTGACTTACCTAATCAACCCCTTTCCTGGCACCAGGAAGCTGGCTGCCCAACATCCACATGGTATTTCTGGAGGCTCCGGCAGCTCCTCTCTATGCCACTGACGGGTGCCAGCACCAACTCTCTAAGCTTCTAGGGCCTTATGCTTGGCTTACCAGCAGCCTGTTGGCTAAAGATAACATGAACTATGGGACAAATGTACAGCAACTGTTTTGATT